CTACTACTACTACTACTACTACTACGACTACTACTACTACTACTACTACTAATACTACGACTACTACTACTACTACTACTACTACTACTACTACTACTACTACTACTACTACTACTACTACTACTACTACTACTACTACTATACTACTACTACTACTACTACTACTACTACTACTACTACTACTACTACTACTACTACTACTACTACTACTACTTCTACTACGACTACTACTACTACTGCGACTGTTAGGACTACGACTACTACTACGATTAATATCATCACATTACCACCACTACTAATATTATTACTACTAATACTACTGCTACTACTACTACTACTACTACTACTACTACCACTACTACTACGACCATTACTACGACCACTACTACTACTACTACTACTACTACTACTACTACTACTACTACTACTACTAACGCCACTACTAGTACTAGTTCGACTACAACTACGACCTTTACTACTACTACTACTACTACTACTACTACTACGACTACCACTACTATTATTGCTCCTGATACTACTTCGAGTACTACGATTACTATTGTTAGTATTACCACTACTACTACGACTACTACTACTACTACTACTACTACTACTACTACTACTACTATTACGACGGCTGCGACCCATTACAACTAGCACGGCTACTACTTCTACTCGTATTGTTACTTTAATTACTACTACTACGATTACTAGTACTACGACTACTACTTCGTCCCTTACCACTACACTTAGCACTAATATGATTAGGTTGTTTACTACTGCTGCTACTACTACGACGACTACTACTGACTACCTCCACTGCTACTAGTATTAGTACTAGTACTATTACTAGTACTACCACTACTACTGCTACTACTACTAGTACTACTACTAATACTATTTCTACGACTACTTCTACAACTATGTTACTACTATCGAGATTATCATGAGTGCTACCACCACTACAGCAGGTGGCGTGCCCGCTTGGTGGTCTTCTCGCAGCGTCTTCCCCATGGGGCCAAAAAAACACAATTGAATTGAACTCGTGAATTCGATAAAAGGCTTGGTCCGAAAAGACGGCTGCGGCGGCGTCTTCGGCCCTCTTCATATGTCTCGGTAAGGAAGCAAAAACCCGCAGAAGACGGACTCGCAAGGGCAAGGATGATTTGAAGCCTTTGGGACCTTCTGTTTTTGCTCCTTCGCTTCGCTTCGCTGTCGCTGGCAGCTCGTCGAATATGGAGCGGAGCAGCCCTAAACAGACATGCAACCTGAGGCCTCAAGACAGCTCCCCGCGACAAGGTTGATGGGAGGCTCAGCAAGGCATTGTGCACCTATCTACTTACCCGTGGGATCTCTACCTCCTCCTCCTCCTCTTCCTCCTCCTTCTCCTCCTCCCCCTCCCTTCTCCCCCGCAGACCCCCCAGACGCATGGGGGGGAGACAGGAGGGACTGGATGAAAGCACAATGGAGGACGCCCTTCCTCCTCCCTCCGCCTCAGATCCCCCACGGGGCCAGGAACGGAAAGGAGGAACACAACGCAATGCAATACAATGCGATTGCAGTGCCAATGCAATGCGGTCGCAAAGCAATGCGATGCGATCGCACTTCAACGCGCCTCCATGGCATCGCTGTGCCACGCGAGCCCCCTGGAGTGCTCCCCCCTAGAGTGCTCGGGGGCACTCCCCTGCGGCCTGGAACCGTGGAGGCCTGCTGCTGCTCCCTTGCGGCCAGCGCCGCTTGTGATGGCCGACTCGCGGCGGGGGGGGGGCGAAAAAAATATCCCCCCCAAAAAAAACACACACACCTTTTTTTTTTGTTTTTGATTTTTTCTCGCCCACAACCACGCGAACTCCAACCATCATCATTGCCCTGGCGGAGCGGGCGCCCACGGGACGGCTGAGAGAGCGAGGTGAGGGAACGTGTGGAGTGGAATGGAGAGCACGAGTACGCCTGTATATACATATATGGGCCCTGGCCAAGGAGATGAGTATCCAAGGACCTCCGAACAAACAAAAACGACTCCCCCCTCCCCCCAATTCGTGCGTGAAGCGTTTGCGGTGGACCGAAATGCTTCCAAAACGAAACATCGATTCCAGCAGGGGGGGGAATAGGCCAGGACCCATATATATATATATATATATATATATATATATGGGTGTGACTGCATGTGTGGTTGCATGTGTATAGGCATGTATACATCATCCTGCACATGCACATGTGCTTGTCTGCGCATTTATCTAGCGTACGCACGTATATGAACATAGAGATCCATATGAACCTATGCGTGTACAAGTATGGAAGACACTGGAAACACGAATCGGCATGAATTAACTTGCGAGGTAATACGTTTCATGGTGGGTAATCCACTACTAGCAATACACATATTAACTCGCGAATTAGTTCTTCCGTAGATACGAACCATCCATTCAAACAACTGCAAAAAGATAGGCACTCGACCAAATAACAAAAAATACCAATATCACGGGATGGGGATCGAGAAAAAAATAAGAAACCGAAATCGGTAGTATCAAACGTATTCCGGAATCGGGATCGACAAACAAGATAATACATTGAAATATGTCATACCGAACGCTTGCAAATTTATCGAATATTGAGAACCTCTTCCTCGAGGATGTGGTTTTTAGAACTAAGAGCTAGTTTCTAAGAGCATCGAACACGACAAAAAATCCTTCGAAATCCATGTTGGCCGCAAGTGTTCCGAAGATTTCTGGAATCGATCAGCGTTTTAGAATAGTTTTGCCCGTCCCCCACAGGAGTCGTAACGGCTCTGGAACAAAATTGCGGCAGCAAAGAATCAAATATTGCTAATATGAATGGTTAAGTGCCCTCTGAATCTTAAAAAAATGTGCCCGATATTTTGAATCTAAATTAAGAATTTCGAACTAGAACGCCAGCACATCACGTGCGCAAAAAAATGCGGATCATCAATAATGAATCCCTGTCCTATTTCTCATAAATACGTCAATCAGAGCAGCTAGAATGAGCTTATATTTTCCGTCGCACTCAAGGACGAAACTTTGCAGCAACAGTGCGGTTGATCACGAATGTACCTTCGGTCCGCTTCGTTGAAAAGGATACATTTTTCGAAGATGGTGCTTATTAGGACATTAGTATTCGTGATGCGCTGCGGCATTCTTTGGCGTCGCTTGGCAGTCGAAGGCCCGAGAATTCAATCCGAAACAATCCAACTTCTGCAACGCAAGCAATCTCGAAGGTGGCTGGCTACCCGCCGAGGACGTACCTTGCCAGCCTGGAGCACGATGCAGCCATGCGGCGGTCGACACTTGCCAGATTGTCCCAGTGGGAGTTCCGGAGCATGACGTACAAGAAAATCCGCCTCGAATGAAAAAGGCACGAGAGAAAAGAGGCGCAAAGAATCGTTCGTTTAAGCTATATGCTGATACGTTTCTTTCTTATTTCCTGAATGTTACTTTTACGTCGGATGGATAACACGTTCTTTCGGGAGAATCAATGGATAGACGATTCGTTCAAGCCATCATTTTCTGATGAAGTGGACTTGTTCCAAGCAGATTGTACGAAATACCGCAACTGTACAAAGACATGTGTTAATATCGATGTGTTTTTAAAAACATGCAGCGGCAATATTAATGAACACGACGATCAATTGAAAGAAGTAGGCAAAAGAATCATAGAAGAATAGAAGATAGCAGATAAGCACTTATTACACGATGGAGCTGGTGGCGGCGTTCGCATGGCACCACTGCACCCATGTCGGCACACCCCTCGAACGTTTCGTGGCCCCATAGGGAGCTCCACCCAAGGAACCAGCGGCTGCGCTCGCATGGCACCACCGCACCCATTCTGGCACACCCTTGCACGCTTCGTGGCCGCATAAGGAGCTCCACCGAGGGCCCCAGTGGCTGCGCTCGCACGGCACCGCCGCACCTACGTCAGCACACTCGTCACACGCTTCGTGGCCCCATAGGGAGTCCACCGAGGGCCCCACTGGCTGCGCTCGCACGGCACCACCGCGCCCATTTCGGCACACCTCTGACACGTTTCGTGGCCCCACAAGGAGCCCCACCGAATGCCCCAGTGGCTGCGTTCGCATGGCACCACGGCACCCATGTCGGCACACCCCTTACATGCTTCTCTCTCCCCATAGGGAGCTCCACCGAGGGCCCCAGAGGCTGCGCTCGCATGGCACCACCGCGCCCATTTTGGCACACCCCTCACACGCGTTTGCATGCGCCCACCGCGCCCGTTTCGATACATCCTTCACGCGCTTCGTCGCCCCATAGGGAGCTGCACCGAAGACGATACTCACAACGGCTTTATTCACAACTGCAGATGGTTGGGTCTTTCGCCAGGGTGATTTCGTAACGTGAAA